GTTCCTTCCAGTATAGTGTTCCCAGTGTCATTGTTAATGATTCTGCACGAATTGGAAGTAAATCTAACAGAGTTGCCTTTGTCACAGAAATACTTAAAAAGTTGTGTTTCAAACCCTCGACCAAAAATACATTATCAATAACATGGGAACTTAACCTTCCTACTTTTCCAATGGCAATAATTTCACCTTTCATGTTGTCACCAAAGGTCACAGTCCCACCATAATATGTGTCCAGTGAGAGAAATCTAGTTTTGTCTCCTGTCATGTGCTTAGAATAACCGCTGTCGAGGTACCATGTGTTGTTCCCCCCTCACTAGAACCTGCATGAAAAATCAAACGTTAGTGTCAGGAACCCAGGTCTCCTTGGGTTCCTATGTAACAAATGTAGAATCAGATTTCTTAACCCATATCTGTCTAACATGATTTTCATTCTTGAGACTGCTCTTATCTTTCTTAGGACATTTGTTTTGCTTATGTCCTGTCTTACCACAGAAATAGCAAATAATACTACTAGGCAAATCAACATACTTCTTTTCTTCCTGGAACTTCTACTTGTATCTTAGACCTTCAATTCTTTTGGTTTGAGCATTAGCAATCCATTCTGGTACAGTGTACTCTATGGGTTGCTTGCCCTTCCTAGCTCTTTCAAGTTCCCCCTCAAGTCTTGCTTTATCCAATTTTAACTCTTCTAAATCAAATTTCAATTTTTCAAAATTCGGATATTGATCAAGAAGAGGAACTTCAAAGTTAGGAGTAGAACCTCTAAGTTTCAAAAAAGAAATTTCCATATTCATATGTATGTTATCATGTTTCAACCTTTCAACAGTTTCTCTTAACTTCACATTATCATCAAATAAATCAAAGAATCTCTGTTGAATATCAAGTCTCATATTATCAATCCATTCACCATGTTCTTTGTAAGTTTTAAGAGCCTTGTCACTTTGTGCTTTTGCTACATGTAAGTCTATTAAATCACCTTGAACTTCCAAGATAGTGTCAATCAAGTTTTCTTTAGAGAAATGTTTTAACTCATTAGAAGTAAACCATACATCAACCTCTAGTGCCTTCAGTTTGACTTTTTCATCTGTTTTGGCCATCAGACACAAGTGTGCTGATACTTCTAAGGGCTGCTCTTCGAGTCTCCCCAGACAGCTATCATAGCCTTCCTTACATCCACCTTTGAAAAAGATGGCTTGTAGGCTTTGGACTCTTTAGCTTGATCCTTTCCTTTGAACTTTGCTCTATCATTTTCCTTTAGAGGACAGTCTCTAATGAAGTGATGATCTTTTAAACAACACTTGAAACGGGTAGTTTCTTTGGAACTTGAAAATTTCTTGTTCCTATCATACTTCCTGTTACCAAGCATCTTCTTGAATCTTCATCAACTTCTGACTCATCAGTGTCCCGAGCTTTCAACACCAGGCTCTTGTTCTTGGAACTTTCAGCATTAGTTCCTAAGTGAAGTTCATGTGTCATCAAAGATCCAGCCAGTTGTTCCATATTGAACTTTGTGAAGTCCTTGATTTCTTGCATTGCAGTCACCTTAGATCTCCATCGTTCATCTTGAGGAAGACTCCTTAAAACCTTTCTTGTCTGTTCATCTATAGGAATATGTCTGCCAAGGGAACCCAGCTCATTAATTATATCATTGTATCTAGTAAACATTTCTTCTATGGTTTCCTTAGGTAGCAAAATCTTTCATATTTAGATATCAATAAATCAATTTTAGACCGTTTTACCTCATTTATACCTTCATGAGTAACTTCAAGTAGATCCCATATTTGCTTAACAAACTTGCATCCCATGATTCTGTTGTGCTCATGGGGTCCAAGTCCACAGTGCAACAATTTAATAGCTAAAGCATTCAATTCAAATTGCTATATTGTAAGGATACTTGGATTCACGCAGACCAGGACTAAGTTCCCCCCGTCTTCAACTCTCCAGCTCTGTACTGGAACTTGTAGTCCAAGTTCTTGTGGAACTTGTTGTCTTCAACGCAGTCCAAACTAATCTTCTCAGCTTGCTGTCAAGCTCCTGTTAGAGAACTTCTCTTCATGTTCCTGTTAGGGATCACAGCTAGTTCTAGTGAGGAACTCTTCTTCTACTTTCTTTAACTTTCCTTTAGATTTCCTTGAGTCTTCATAGATAGGTTACTCTTCCACTTCCAAAGTCAACTTCACCTATTCTAATCAAACAGTTAGAGAAATCGCATTAGTTGAAGTTTGCTTTTATTCATCATCATCATCAAAACTCTTAAGCTTCAACACTATCTATATTTACTAACCATGTTAAACTTATTATACTTCCTCTATCCCTAATTGCAAAGATTTGGGTCAAACTTTAAAATCGTTGACCATAAAATATTCTAATCCATAAGAGATGATATAGTTATGTGAGATTTTGTTGAATTAGTCTGATTGTATATTTTTTTAATATCTAATTCTTATAATTTTTACATGTATGCAAATAGAGATAAAATTGTATTAATACGTGTCTTGAAGATTACAAAAAGTCAAATGGAGCAAAAATTTAGGGACGACGTAGTATTTATATATTTTTATTGATTTAATTGATATTTAGTTGAGAAGAACAATGGCCAAAGAAAAAGTCACACAACAAAATGCAAATATAGATTACAATAGTCAGAAATCCTTTGGTGATTTATAGTAAGAGTTGCACATAGGGTAACAACATACATATGGGATTCAATATAAGTCTAAGGTTATCCAATTTAGGGGGGGGGGAGGACTTGATCCCAATCAAATATTGTGTTTACACTTTGAGTGAGTAAAAGAGAATGAAATATCAAGGTAACATTATAGGTAATGTTAATGGAAAAAAATATTGGACACATTTGATGTGTGTATTCCTATGATGGCTCCGTAACCACCTCTTCTCCACCTTTGTTAGCTTTCCCAAATCCAAACCTTATGGCCTTAGCCTCCTCAATATAGTCCCACATATGCTACTTTAGACGTGTTGCCAAGCCATCCACAATCTTTACACCTTCCTTAGCACATAACGCCATTACAAATCGCCCCTAACTACCTTCAATCTTTCACCCACCTCCATCTAACCCACCAACATCACTACTGATTCAGACTTTGCCCTTCTTTAATTTTTGGCCTCAGTTGTTGTCATTAACCTTTTCTTTTAACATAAACCCTTACCCATAAAGCCTAGAGCAGATTCAAAGTGGAATGCAAGAAAATCAAAGCTAATGACTATTTATTAAGGATATGATATTGGTTGCAAAGAGAACCGGGGGGGGGGGTAGGTGGATGAAGATTAAGAAAATTACTTTATATGTCAAACTTCAAGATGTTGGTCATGCTCTTTATACTTAAAAGTGATATATATGCTATTTCTCATATGAAGTGTATTGAGATTAGAAGAGGGTCACTGCAACATCCACTATGTCTTACACAAGATAATCAACCAACAATAATTCAATTCAATCAACCTAAAATTCTCACACAACCAAATCACAACGAAGTAGTAGCAAAACAACAAAAACATCAGCAACACTAAGAAGAAACAATATCAATCAACACACAAGAATTATATGTAGATAACCCCTTCGATGTGAAGGATAAATACCACAGGACTATTTAAGGAGTCCACCTTAACTTCTCTTATTGATAAATTGAGGAAAAAAGAATCCCAAATCATTTTACAAAGGACTCACAACCCACCACCAACAACAAACAATAAGAGATCAAAATTAGAGAGTGAAAGAAGTAGAATTCACCCAAAAACAACAATTTTGTCTAGAGACAATTCCGACCAAACCAAAGCTCAAAACAGCGATCCAACCGTCCAAAATGAAGCCCTTGATGTCAGGAATTGTTCAAACTTAAGCACGATCCAACGGTGGAATTTTTGGCAACAACCAGTTTTGTGAAAGTTGTGCTGAAAAGTCCGAAAATAGAAGCACTTTTGAAACCCTCACTTAGCTCTCTATTTTGTGCTTATGTTTCATCTGAAAATTGCTGAGTATTCCACAGCAAGATAACTTCTTAAGACTTCTCTTGGAAGCTACAAAACCCATGCCAAATATGGAGCCAAAAATAATACTTGACAAATCCATAATAAGAGCCCATAATACATGTGTCTAAAAAACAATATAATAAGAGCCCATAATATATGTGTCTATTGCAAATCGAGCTAGGATACCACAACAAAGTGGGCATGCCAAACTAGAGTTCGTTTATGTATGTTTAGAATATTTCCTTCCATTAAGAAAAAAATGTATTTTATACTCAGTATAAAGTTTTCAAAATAAATCCTTGTTTTGAGTTTTAATAGTACTACTAATTGATCCTTAATCTAATCTATTAACCTATACTAAAAACAAATCCTTTCATGACACTTGTCATTACCTTGCAGAAAAATTTCTCGCCTTTTTCGCTTCTCTCTCTTTTTTTTTTTTTTTTTGCAAAATCTTTAAGTAAATTATTTATACCTTATGATATTTTCTTTCCACTTTGACAATCATATTCCATATATACCCAAATGATATATTTTTGAATATCTTTTAACATAAATAAAATCTCATTGTTATATAAGACCCTATAATCACTAAATTTGCATTTTAAAAAAAAATTGTTTAATGATCAATAACTTTCGATATTGATATAAATATATAATATAAAGTTCAAGTTAATTTTTTCTGAAAAGAATTTCAAATATTTGTTTCAATTAAAAGTATTGAGTTTTTAAAAAATTATTGTTAAATTGACATCGCAATTCATAATTAGGTTAAGTAAAAATCGTGCGTTACACGGGACTTAAGCTAATTTCTTTATAAAACTCTTCCCTCTTATACTCCTCAATTCAAAACAACCAATTAGTCAAGAAAAACACTAGTCCTAAGATTGGTGAAAATTGATTGGGCTTGTTTGTACACTAAAATAAAATTCAAGCCTTAATCAATTTGGACATCAATTTTCAGTTTTTCACAAATCCCAAACTCCTACAAAAGTCATCATTAATACATTATAGAGCCCAAACCTAAGTATTTAAGCACAATATAATATTCATCATCTTCCTAATACACGAAGTTTCTACACTCCTCTCATGGACAACCTGACAAGTGTGACAACCATCAACTTTCTTTTTCTCTCCTAAAACCTCCCCATTTCCTAAGAACTTTCCAGAATAATCCAGGGCTTACCTTCTTCTTCCTCTAGACTCAATTCCCCCATTTTTATTAAATCTCGAAAAAACCCTTATACCCCATCAACATCAACTTAACAATCATCAAGAATCTCTGTTTTTTTTTTCTCACAGGCATTTCATCAAACACTCAGTGTGCATCAATGGCGGACAACGGCGTTGTAGTGCTTTACGATGGAACCATTGTCACCACCGACACCAACAAAAACCCAAATCCATTTTCGATCAAAGTCGGCTTAGCCCAGATGCTTCGCGGCGGCGCAATCGTCGAAGTCTCCGATCCAAGGCAAGCTAAAATCGCTGAAAGTGCAGGCGCTTGCTGCATTTCTGTCGCCGGAGATCAAAAGGGTATCGGAAGAATGGCAGACCCATCAATCATCAAAGAGATAAAACGCACCGTTTCGATTCCCGTCATCGCTAAATCTCGGGTCGGGCATTTTGTCGAAGCCCAGATTCTTGAATCAATTGGATCCGATTACATCGATGAAAACGAGCTTTTATCGATTGCAGATGAAGATCATTTCATCAACAAACACAATTTTCGGGTCCCATTTGTTTGTGGGTCGAGAGATTTTGGTGAAGCCTTGAGGAGAATTCGAGAAGGTTCTGCTATGATTCGGACTCAAGGGGATTTATCTGGGTCGGGTAATATTGCGCAAACTGTAAGAAATGTTAGGCAAATAATGGGTAATATTAGGGTGTTGAATAATATGGATGATGATGAAGTTTTCACTTTTGCTAAGAAAATTGGGGCACCTTATGATTTGGTTGCGCAAACTAAGCAAATGGGTCGGCTTCCGGTTGTTCATTTCGCCTCCGGTGGAATTGTTACTCCTGCTGATGCTGCCCTGATGATGCAATTGGGGTGTGATGGGGTGTTCATTGGGGGTGAGGTTTTCGATGGGGCGGACCCGTTTAAACGAGTTCGGGCGATTGTGGAGGCGGTCAGGAACTATAATGATCCAGCTGTGTTGGCCGAGGCGTGTACCGGGTTGAGTGGTGCAATGGCGAGGATGAATATCAATGATGATAACAGGGTGGTTGAAGTTTGAAAGAATGGAAGGTATCTTGTTCTGACTTTATTGATGAAGAGATGAGAAATGTTATGCTAGAATTCATAGACGTTGATCTTGTTGACTTGTTTGATGTTGTTATAGAAAAATATGTGGTTTCATGAGGCATGAATCATATTGTAGTCGTGTTGTGTACTTGGTTTTGTACTTGAAGACTGTTGTAATATGAGGAAATATAGAGATATGGATGAATAAAATAGTTACTCTTTCTGTATGTTGTCGTCTTTGTCTTTGTTCTTGTTCAATTGTCTTTTGCTGAAACTTATATTACTTACTCAGAAAGGATTTGTTTCATGGTGCAATTTTTATCATTGGAATGTGTGTGCAAAGAAGATGTGGTTAGTTTTCAGGTACAGGTTCATCTCAAAAATTTGAGCCATGTTGGAGCCCCTTTGATTTCTAAATCTTACCCTTGCATAGATTTCCTAAAAGTGTTGCCATTATATAATGTCCTTAGGCATCTCCTAGATCCATTAGAGTATCGGGGAACGGGGGTTGTCCTACTTTCATTATGGTTAGCCCACCAGTAACATCTCCACCCCATTGGGGGGTTGGGGATAGGGAGGTGAGATTGTCCTAATCCCATCATGTCAGTACTAATAACATCTTTACCCCATCCAGCTGGTTTGGTGGGGAGGTTAGGGGGTAAGGAGCAGTCCTATTCCCATGGCGAGCTTACAATTAGCATCTCCACCCCATTTGGAGGCGACTCCTATTCCCATGGTCAGCTCACCAATAGCATCCCCCACCCCAATTGGAGGAAGGAGGGCCGGGGAAGGGGGGGGGGGGTGGAGCATACCAGTAATGTCTCCACCCCAATTGGAGGACTAATATTATCACCTGCTAAACATACTAGTCCTTGTGTTTTTGATGCTGAATTGTATTTTTAATTCTAGGCTGCAGTGGCAACATTGTTATTTTAAACATTAACACAGAAAACACCACCCCCTTGTCCCTTTAGAAAACAAGATCCTTGGTTTAATTTTATGGGATCTTTGATGGATACTTGAATGGTTTAGTTAAAGAGCTCGAATGTTTAAATTAGCTTGTTTCAATAAAAATATGAGTAACATAAACAAATTTTAGCTGAAGATCTTTGCAATACAACTGGATCTAGAGGCTAGAGATACTAAATATTGTGTCTCTCAATCAATGGTTTACTGTATTCCTACGAGCTTAGCAATGAGGATTGGTGATAGTTTTACTAACAATTCGATCATACAAGTCAAGAATGTGTGGATCTTTTTTTCTTGTCCGTGATGACCAATTTGATGTTGAAGTGATTTTAAAAGGATTTGCTGATGATGCAATGATGGAGCTTAGAGGAGTTGTTTTTGAAAGTACTAGCGGATGAAAACAATTGTTGGTTCAGTGATTCTGGTTTTGTTAAATAGTTGTAGTAAAAAGGTTTATTCAGCGTGGAGTAATATTATTGATTTTGAAATTCTAAATTTTTATGAAATAAAAAACTCAAAAAACTTGTAGGATGTAGAAATATAATTTTCTTTCCTCCTATTTGATTAATTGTGATTTATGACTGTTTTAGGGTACTGTATTTCAAGCACTTATATTAGTCGTTTCAGCTGTGTCAATACTTGGCAATAATCTCATGCATTGTTTGTAAGTAAATTCCCTCTCCCCTTTGGGCAGTGGCAGCAGATCCTGAACCAAGTGAATTCTAGGTTGAGCCTGTATACATTCGACTTTTCTTTACCCTGGCTGGCTAAGAGCTTGTGCGAGCATATTAGAAGAATTAAGATAATGTTGGTATTCTGTATGCTGTCTCTCATGTAACTTTATGAGCTTTGACAAGTTTTGATTTTTTTATGCAAATGACAAGTGAGTACAAAGCTAGCTGATAATACCATTTACTCACTGAGTTAAGAGGCTGTGCATTCTTTATTTCTGCTTCACGGCTTACCTGTTTTGAGTGCAAAGAGATGGTATTTCGAGTGCAAAGGGATGGTATAGAGGTTGTGTTAGCATTGATGCTGTCAAAATGTCAAGCTTATTTGTCTGGGAAGTTATAATGGCCGTGTATTTGAGATAAATGTACTTGTCGGCCTTGAGGCATCTCTTTCTTATACACATGTTTTATCGTACTCTGTATATGGTGTAAGAGTAAGCCTATAGGGATTAAAATACAGTTGCTGTTATGCTTTGCCTGTAACACGCACTGCAAAACCCTTTGATGATGAACTAAAGATTGATGTTTTGCTTTTGCTCAGTTAACTCTCTACCTCAGCTAAGAATCTGTTTATTGGGCTTCTGATCTTGCTGATAGCTTCACTACGCTCTCCCACTCCCACCTCTTTGTTAGTACGTAGGAGTAACTTGGTACAGCTTACTGTCTGTAGTAGATGAAAACTTTTTAAGCCAATAAGAGCTGGTGGCACGTTTTGTTCAGATCTAGTCTAGAAACAGTAGTTACTGTTGGTTTCGCCTCATCATAAGAAACCTGCAAAAGCTCAAGGTAGTATTATCTTCTAAATATGAGGTGCAGATCTGCAGTATGATAAATCAGATTCAGTTAGTCAGCGCCCTCCGTAGTAGACTCCTGAAAAAAAAAATCCGGACTCTAAGTTTCAATAAGTGCTTGGGACAGTCGGATCTCTAATTTTTTGTAACTTGCTACAAGCTCAGTAGAGTAGTAATCAGAAGTTTGTCGTAAGCGAGTATGTCCACCGTGCTGATCAGCCTAGAAGAATTCTGTGACATGGGTAGTTCTGCATCTTATTATGCACAAGCTGACAAGCTTATTTATTTATAGTTTTAGAGACTTTTGGACCAAATCTTTCGGACAAGGGATCTTTTTTGACACACCTTGGAGCATGTCCTTACAGATTTGATAAATGCAACTCATGCCCTAGATAATAAGTTGATGACGACCGTATGTCTCTTACACTATTGCTATTGTCTCTTACATTATTGCTACATTATTTAAGAGTATGTCTCTCAAAAGCATTTAATAATTTGATATTTTATCATTATACCAATTGTTGTGTGATTTTGAAATCTATTTATCTATGCTTAGTATTTAAAAACACAAACCACAATTCTATAGTAAGCCATATGGCATCACAATCATTCATATGCCACATGTCACCTCTCTTAATCTTTCCTTTATATATTCCCTTTTTAATATAAAAATTAAAAAAAAAATAAACAAGACTAGTAATGTTTAAGTTTTTATGCATTCCAAAATTTGCAAATTTAAGTAAGAAAATGAAGTGTTTCATTTCTAACATAATAAATTAAAGTTAAACTAATTAGTGCACATTACATAAACAATAAAATAGTCTTTTCATCTCCTAAACTTAAAACTTAAATCAATACGTCATTTTATACCCCACAATATCCATGTATATATACCTAACTAATTCCAAAACAATACCGACACATATAATTAACACAAATATGTAACACATTTCAAGAAAAATAACCTAAGTAACAACTCGTGCATCGAACGGGGCAAAAAACTAGTTATATTGAATTGCATTTCCTAAGAATTGTATGTACTATGAGTATAAACTTATATTGAAGAAGCCTCTATTCATTTTTTTTTTTTCAATTTTAGAGACACTTATTTTATGAACGTCATAAAAATTTTGTACTCGTATTATAATGCAAGACTATTACAGAATTAAATGCGGTCTATCTAGGAAATTGGCCTCTGAATGGTTAGATAGTGTGGCCAACTTTAAGTGGTGAAGCAGAGGTTAAATGATGATGCAATTTCAGACCTTTCAGTAGCAGCACAAGATCGAACTACTTCCGCCGAATTAAATCCTCTTAATCAACTGGGGAGGCAAAAGAACAAAAATAAAAAAGGTCTTGTTTTAGGCATTAGTTTATGCCTTTGTTTTGAGCTTTTTGGTATTTTGTTTGGTAATTATATAGGTGCTAGTTACAGTCTTTGATGATTATAGGTATTTTTATATTTTATGAAGGATGCAAGTGACAATCCATTTTTGTAATTGATAGAATGGAGAAAATCAGCTTGCGGCTTAGAAGTGTCAACTTGAGACAGTGTCACCTTGTTTATACATGTCATTTAACTTAGGCGAGTCAAGTCGATTCCCTTATTATTATTTAATTAATTTATTACCAAATTGTAATAAACTTTGATGTTTTATGCCATAACTCTTACCTTGTATGTCTTAATCATCGTGACTTAGTTGGAACTTGGAAGTACAAATTTTTTATAACAATTTGCTAAATTTACTCACATACTTAACTACCATGACGTCTCTACAACCACATTCTCAAGCTCACCTAATAACTCGCATGGCACTTCAAGTCCTCAACCAACTATCAAAAAAGAATTTGAGTGTCCTCTTGAATATCGTTATTTATTCCCCACACTTAAGATTCAGAAGGTGATCTGTAACTCCATATCTTGACACATTCAAAAGCATGGAGGAATATGATATGGGAGCCAAGTTGAAAGATCAAGATCAGAGATTCGGTTAAGCATAGGTTAGATTAGATATCTCCTTACATCATGGAAACCAACAGCTTCCTTGCGTCATCAAGAGCAAAGATCTTATCTTGTCAGCAGAACTTGTTTACTTTTAAACAATTTCTTTCTCAACCCTTTTGTGGTCCTTAAAACATTCAACCATACGTGCACAGTGCACTTGATATATTTGCTTTGATTAAGCTGATGTATGTCAAAAACAAAATCTCTAGGTTAATTTCACACCATCATCTTTATACACCCTCGATTTTGATAAGTAATTAGGTATCTCCTCCTGCAAGTTCCTCATAAATGTCAATATAAATCTATAAGTTATCACATTTTCTACTACGGAGTATAATGGTTGATGATTGGATTTTTTGAATTGTTTGTATAAATATTACGTAAAAGGGTAATAGTATTTGAAATTTACATGTAACATCTATCAGTTTCATTGTAAACCTGTTACTAACATTTTCAGACACCGGAATTGTCTTAGGCATATGTCAATGAATCAATAATACATGCATTGTTGTTAACTGAAGTGTGGATATGCCACTTTCTCTGGTTGTTTTGTTCATCAATATTTTTTCTTTTGCAATTTCTTACATGTTAATACAACAGACTATAGGTCCAGCTGAGGTTTCTGTACACGTACAGAACTTCTCCACCTATACTAATCATATAAGTTGATGTGCCAAGTTCGATCATCCATGAAATAATTCGCTTCAATTGCCCAAATTGTTGGTCACCCTAGAATTTCAGGGGAATTAACCTTATGGTCCTGAGGCCTTCAATGTGCTTTCAGTCTGAAGACTCTCATTACCAACACCACTAAACAGGCACCTCAAAGAAAGCTCGTAGGCAGCAAATATTGCTCCATTCACAACAAAAGCCCGAGCAACTGCTGTTCCTAGCCCTCTCCACAGAACTCCATAACCATCCTGCTTAACACTCTTCCTAAAGCAATCCACGATCCCACTGTATTTTATTGAAGCTTTTGTTTGCGCCTGGAGTCTAGTCTTGATCACATCTAATGGGTAGAATGTGGCCCAGCTCGCAACTCCAGCTAAACCCCCAGCAACAAGCATTGTATTTAGGGTCTCTTGGCCACTCTTTCGGCATCCAGGGTGGAGCTTTTCTCTCATGTATTCATATGTCCAGAAGTACAACCCATGAGCGGGTGCATCTCTGAGGGCCGTGATGGTTAAACCACGATATAACCCTCTTAGACCTTCGGTTTTAAGTATGGTTTTGGCTAATTTTTTTGGACCATTTTCAGTGTTTGATACCAAATGGCTGTTTTGCTTTAATTGAAGACGGATTTTTAGTAGCTCAACAGGGCTTAATATAAGACTCTGGAGTGCCCCGGTGCCAAATCCTCCTATGGCTACCCCCTTATACGAAGGAGGTTCTCTTGGATCAACAGATTTGTCACATGCTCGAGATAAGACTGCATATGTTTGGAAAACCATGGCATTCTGCAAATCAAAGGTAACAAAGTGCAGGATTAAAAGCTATAACCTATCAAACAAATGTAAAATGATTCTTGAAACATAAAATCAAAAGCACAAATGAAGCTAGTTTTTCTCCAAGATTTGATAGAACCACTGATTTTAGTCTTTCCAGTTGCTTTAGGAGTTAGGATGTCACAAAAACACCAAGAAATCAGATAGATCATCAGAAACATGTAAACTCAGATTTCATATTATAATCACATAAAAGTTATGGCCTTTTGATAGTAGTGTCAATTATGTCAAAATTCACAACTTGTGATATTATATTGGGTTCATGAAAAATATCAAAACTAAGAAATATGTTCTGTCTTCACCAATAAAAAAATAAAAGAAAAGAAATATGCTTTGTTACTAATTTGAAAACCAGCAAGGAATGCACAACCTATCTTTGTTACTCGTCCTAGTATATCTGCAATGTTCCACACGGCCACAAGTGCGAGTACAAGTGTCAAAAACACCACCAACTTATGAAATTTTTGCATGATTCTTAAATAAAGTGTCCATGTGTCATACCCACGCAACCAATTAACACCAATTACACGAATACTTGAGGCTAAATGAAAAACCACAGTAAATATAGTATAACTTAGCAACTAATCATCCATACATATTCAAGTATGTACTAAAACACAAGGGATAGGAGTTTTTTCCCTTCTTACCCAGAAACTGGCATAAGATTCCCAGAAAAACAGTGGATTTCCCATTTCTCAGGAATTCAGGATCAATTAGTATCCTAAAAGAACCATCAAAAAAACATAATTATCCCAAAACAAATTAACATATACATAAACCCAAAATCAAACACTTGCAATACTATTACCAAACCAAATTGTTTTATAACAAAAAAAAAAAAAATGACAGAGCAAAAAGGCAAACCTGAAAAGTGACAGAGGCCAAGGGAGCACCCATGCCTCTGTAAAAGGCAGAGGGTCCTTCGGTGGCAAGAACTCGCCGGAAAATACTGATTGCACCGCCGGAACTTGAGCTCTGTTGCCGGATTCTGAGCGTATCCAACGGATATCCGGCGACAACTCCGGCGATTCCACCAAACCCACCTGCCACAAATTCTTTCCCCCAACTACTTGCTAGGAATTCTGGCCAAAATTCCATCTTTAACTCTTTTTGCATCCCCCAATCCTCAAAAAAAAAAAAAAATCTATCCTTTTTTTTTTCCTGTAAAAACTTAGTTTTTTTTTGGGGGGTAGAAATCCTGCAATAAGGTTACCCAGATGAAATTATAAGATGGGTATTTACTATTTGGTTGTTTTAACAAATTGAAGAATACCCACCTAATCAATCCAACTTTTTTTTAAAAAAAATCTCAGCTTTTTTTTTTCAAATGTAATTCTTCAAAATATCTCTATTTTAAAGAAATTCTGCAAAATAAGGTGAAACAGATGACAATTTTCATATGGGTATTTTTTGGGGGCTAATTTAAAGAACACCCACCTAAAATCTGGCCAATTGAAGAAGTTTCAGAACTTTCTCTCTTTTTTAAGTTCTGGGTTCTGTGAATCTTGTGTACTTTTATTATCCTTTTCTATAAAGATTCAACCTTTTAAATCAAAAAATTCCAATTGATAAAAATCGTGATTTAAAGAGGGAGAAAATTTCACTAAAATTGGGAATGGAATAAGAAAAAGAAAGAAACTAAAATTGATTACAGAGCATGTTTGTTGGGACTAGGACACTGCCTCAATTTAAATGCCAAAGTTTTTGTTCTCTATGGAAAGTGGTACCCCACAATTTGAGGCACGTGGACCAATCATCAACGACACGTAAACTATACAAGAATTACAAGCATTAAATAATGAGCATCACAAACTTTTTTGTTTGTGATGGGATTGGATTGGGTGATTTAGTGGGTTGATGATGACGCGATTTATTGGACTCCTTATCTGATTATTGACCTTAAATACTGTTTATTTACGTTAATTTCAATTGTTTTAGAAGAAATAAATTTAGATAAGTTATGTATCAAAAAATTAAAGATAATAGTAATAGCTAAGTTCAAATAATACTTACAGTATATTAAAAGATCTAATACTATTAGGATTATATAATTAGTTATCAAAATCCCGATTTGAATCTTGAAATCATTTGATTTTACGATTTATGTATATCCATTCGATTTGATTTGCAATTACATCCAATTTTACATATTTCTCTTAAGTTGTAAAAAGTTTAAAATATGCCTACAAAATTATTTATAACTATATATATTGTCAATTATTGATTGCTTAGTGGGTAAATAATTATCTTCTATTAATAATTAGATTTTAACTGATATTTAAATTTAGGTATATTCAATGAAATTATGATATGACGTCTTGATTATACATATTCGAAAAGTAAAAACTCTACTTTGATAATTTTGCATATAAATATATTATCACAAAACTTTGTCAAAAGAGAAGGCTTTAAATAGTATGGAAGTCAAGTAGTGTTATCAATTCAAATTCGATTCACTAACATTTCACGCAACCGAGCTGAGGTGCTTCCAAAGCCCAAGGTTTGGCCCACGTGCTGTAATCTGCCACGACAACAGTCCTATTTTATAAAACAGGTTAATATATAAATAATATGGAAATATAAACAGCGGGGATCTGTGGCGCAATGGTAGCGCGTCTGACTCCAGATCAGAAGGTTGCGTGTTCGATTCACGTCAGGTTCAAAATCCTGATCCCAACAGATCAACTTTTTTTTTTTAATTTTTATTTTTATTTTAAATTATACGTATTCCGTCTTTAGCGTTTCCCTTAATTATCTACATTTGAAATATTTAAGTGTGAAGCATTGAAGGAAGAACACTTTTTTTTTTAATTTTTATTTTTATTTTAAATTATACGTATTCCGTCTTTAGCGTTTCCCTTAATTATCTACATTTGCAATATTTAAGTGTGAAGCATTGAAGGAAGAACTACTAATTTTTCTAATATTTGCGTTACTTCACTACAAGAAATAGGCCGATTCACGTCAGGTTCAATATCCTGACCCCAATAGAATTTCCATTTCGTCGGATATTCCGTCGGAATATAAGGTTTTCCAACTGAATATTCCGTCGGAAATTTTAATTTCCTACGAAATTAAAATCCGTAGGAAGTTTCCGACGGAATATTCCGTCAGAATTTAAGAATATAAAAAAACCAAACCCTTAGCTCTCCTTCTCATTTCTCTTTCTCTCTCCTTCTCTTCCTCCTGTTTCTCGGTTCTTTTCTCTCTCCTGTCCTCTCCTCCGCCTCTCTTTTCTTTCTCTCTCCTCTGCTCTTTCCTCTTCTCTTCCTCTCTGACCTCCTCCTCTTCTCCTTCCTTCTCCTTCTTCGCCCTTTCCTCTTCTTCTTCCTTCTCCTTGCTTTGTTTTTGAACATTTATGATTATAATTAATTATTTTTGTAATTGTAATTGTAGTTTATAAATTTATTAGATCTTTATAATAACAATAGTGAATTTCGTTTTTTTTTATATTAAAATTCAGATCAAATATGCATGGTTTAGATCTTGTTTTTGTATGAATTTTTGTTTCGGATTTTATTTTGTTTTAGATTTTACGATTTTTTTTTTTCGATTTGGTATTTTTGTTTTGTGGGTATTTTTTTTTTCGTTTTTCTGGGTGGGTAGGTTAGGGGGTTGGTTAGGTGAGGTGGTGGTGGCTCGACAGGGTGGGGTAGAGTGGGGGTCTGGTCAGGGGTGGGTGGGGTGTGGGAGGTTTGGACAGGGTGTGACCATCAGTTTTTGGTTAAGTTGGTCCTTTAACATGGTATCAGAGCCAGTGTGACACAAAGGTCATGCGTTCGAATCTCATTAACCCCTCCTTTCAAAATGGAATATTAAGCGCAGGTTATGAGAAGGACCCATGTTGCATCCACACTTCAAGCCCAATGGGCTCTCATGTAAGGGGGCGTGATAGATTATAAAACATATTCCCGAATCTCAACTATCAGCTTAAGCTTTTAATTGCAATTATTTTTGTTCTACTTCAAATCTAGTTGAATGAAATTGTACACTTTTAGGTTACTATAAATATGCTATGAGTTGCGTGAGATGCCCAATTATCTTATTTAAAGTAAATATTTTATACCATACCAATAATTCATCTATATATTTTTGTAAGATTCTCCTAAGTATGATCTAGTGGCTTTTGGTCTAGAATTATATATAAACAAAATAGTTGCATAACTACATTTCTCCAATAAGTTTGACCCACAAATTATTCAAGTTGGAGAGGAACCAAACTTTCCAATAAAAAAGCTTGATTAAGAACCATGGTTCATTGTAGCCCTGCATAGTTGCATATGGAGAATGAGGGGCAAACAAAAAGAGACAAATGGAGTAAAAATTGCATAAAGTAGAAAAGGAAACACTGATTTTTAAGAGAATTATAAAGCTACTCCCTGTAATTCTAATTGATTGTGACACTTTTCTTCAATCAATTAAGTATCAGGGGTCGGTTGGTTTATCTAAGGAAAAGGGAATGATATAACAAAGGGAAAGGAGAATAATAAAATGTAACTCCCTTTAATTTACAATATTGTTTGTTTTATGAAAGAAAAGAAATCAAAGCCACCACACAACCACCAATTCACTTCTCTTTCTCTCTTTTTCCGGCCACCGTGAAGATCCTACCACCCAGCCACCCCTACTGCATCCCTCGGCCCTACCCTCCCCCACCTATGCCAGACCACCCCCACCCCTTTCAGTCCTCCCCCCACTCTCTACTTCCCAAAACCCCCTCCTTTCGAAAAACCTTATCAGCTGCTAGGGCTTTCAAAGGGTGGGGGGAGGGGCGTTTGGGGGTTTTGGGGGTGGGTAAGGGGTTTTAAGGGCGTTTGGGTGGGGAGGGAGGGGTAAGGGGGTTTCAGAAAGGAGAGGATGGGGGGCGGTCCGACAAGGGTGGGGAAGGGCTGGCGGGGGATGCAGTAGGGGTGGCCGGGTGGTTCGATGGGGGTAAGGTAGAAGGGGTGGTGGTGGCTGAGGAGAGGGAATAGAAAACTTTGGGGGGGATGGAGAATCAATTTGGAAGATTTTGGGAGAATGAAGAGGGTAAAGGGAATGGAAAAAAAGTCTAACAAACATCACCAAAGGGAATAAGGGCAGTTGATTCCCTTACCCTTTGATAAAAAAAAACAAAAGAAGTATTGTTGAACGCCTTGAAGTATTAAAATGTCATCCAAAATCCGAAAACGAATCACGTCTATAATATATACGCCGTTTGTGCCTTTCGCTACATAATAATTAAACAAAAGAAGCTCAATTTCTTTCCTTGGACATAGAACTAGGCCCCGTTCTCTTCACCTTATTTTGGCTGAACTGAAACTATTTTTGTTTAACTGAAATTATTTTTATTGATTTTCTTAACTTATTTTTGCTTAAGTGAAATTATTTTTACGGAATTGAAATTACTTTATTTTTACTAAATATTACTTTTTTAAGAGTCGGTTTAGGCAATCTCCTGGGAAAATAAAAAACATAAAATCCCCAAAACAGTACTAGCATCATCCCTTTCTTCGCCTTTCACCAACCACAAAACCTCTGCCTTTAACCCCAGCAATTCCTCCTTCCATTTTTAGAGCGAGAAAACCTCCGGTATTACAACAATGGCGTCGCTGAGTTTTTCAGCTTCTACTACTACTCCCATGGCTTCGTTTCTACCTACACCTTCATCCTCAAGCGTATCGACTTCTTCTTCGTCGTCGTCTTCTTCTTCAAGCAGTTTCAAGCCTACTGGGCCCAGATGTTTTCTTTCTCCTCTTTCTCTTACTCCTCTTCATTCTTCTTCTTTGAAGGTGAAATCTCGTCGTTCTATGGTTGTTTGTATGGCTCCTGAAGAAGAGAAGATGACTCGTCGCTCTCCTCTCGATTTTCCAATCGTATGTTCCTCTTTCTTTCTCTATACTTGATTAATTTGTGAATTGTGGGTAATTAGATTATAATTCTAGGGTTTGTATTTCGAATTGATTTCATCATGGAACAATTGATTTGTTGTAATTGCTTCAATTGTGGCATATTGTGATGTTAATTGCTGCCCTAGTGCTTTGATTTTGATAATTGATTGTTTTCACAATGTCAATCTTGTGATTTTTGGGAAAATAAGTTGAAAATCCTGGTTTGAGAATTGAGAGTATCATAAAACTGCACTTTTGTACGCTGAGCTTTTTCTTTAAGTTTTCATGATTAATTTTTCTTTTTTTTAGGGTTCACAAAGCAATTAAAAGAATTTGAGATGTATAGTTAGAAATCTTAGAATTGCTGGATCTCTCTTTTTGAAGAATGGTTAAAGGATAAGGTTTTAGGTGTTAGAATTTTAGCAATGCTTTTACCTTTGTTTTGGTATTTTTCCCCTTTCCTGTTATCTACTAGTTAGGGTTATGATTAATAACTTGTCTAGCACCGAGCAATAATTGTCATACTCTGTATGTTACAAGGACATTGGAATGGGTATCGATATTATAAACTTACAAGTGCTATGTTTCTTTGATGGGTTTAGGAATCAAATTGGGGATTAGATTCAAACTATAGAATACCTTCGATTTCAGTCTGCCCTCGCTCCTGATGGGATTTCTGATAAACTTGGGAAACTCTAATGACTTTGAATGCCAATTTTGTAGTTAGGGAGAGGATTTATGAAGGTTTGTCGCATGATTTGGTAAATTTGCTACATATTTCTATTATTCTATACTATTTACATTGCAAACCAAACATAGCAGTGTTATTGCATTAAGC